TGCAATAAGATTTACGATAAACAAGGTGTCAAACATCATATCCGACCGTCAAAATAAAAAACAAATGTGTGAAACAGCTTTTAAGCGAAACAATCGATAAATTTCAAACAAAAAATTAAAAAATGGGTAGGTCGATTTTTTTGGTGACCAGTATAGATTCTGCGAATGCTAAAGAAGAGAAGCTCTCCGCATTGGTGTTGGGTTTAACGGTAGCAGCCGTGGGTGGGCAGTGTTAGTGCACGCAATTGCCTAAGAGATGTAGGTGCTCTTAAAACTAGGTAATATTTTTACGCGGATCCTGCTACGAGTAGTAAATTCGCTAAAAATTACGTACATAAAACGTGACAACGAATAAAAACTTACGTTGTACATAAGTAGGTATTCCCATCCATTCATAAGAACCTATAAAGTCAACTGCTTCCAGGCTTCCCCCAAAGCAAAGATTTCCTCATAAATATGACAAAATTCTCCCTATTTTGCCATAGTTGCCACGCTTGGCAGGCGGTTTGACAACCGCAGTTATTTAATTATTTTGGGTAATTACCAGGAAGATGCTGCTACCCATCTACTGTTTCAGTTTCCCTCTATAGTCTCATACCCACGGGATGATATGGGGTAGTTGATATTCTTACACCGCCAAGTTAGTAAATGAGCCAACATAAATCCTCTCCTAATATAAGAGGCCGACAACGTGCCTGTTGCTTTTGATGTAGTGAGCTTGCGGTAAGCGTAAACCGAGCCCTACATGTCGACAGACTTGAGTTATAGCCGAATAGGCAACCCGGCCGTATATTGAAAGCATTTTGAACCGCAAATCTTAAGGATACTGTTACGAAATCGATTCTTAAGAATATTACATTATCTTTTATTTTTTAAAATAACTTGTTACTTAATTCACCGTCAACCTAACTTTCTAAATAATAATAATAATAATGTCCTCCAGACCGAATTTCGGCCACGGCGGCCTGCCTCAACGGAGGCTAGCCATCGGCGCAGGACAGGATTATAGTGCCCAAGTGTATGCGCAATCACAGGTGCACTCTCTATTCCCTCACTCTCGTAATCCTATGGGACGGTAAACCGACACGACCAGGAGAGAGATCAGGCGCAGGACCAACGGCTTTACGTGCTTTCCGAGGCACGGGGGTGAGATACCGCCAACTTCCTGACTCCGGGCAGCTACTGAGAATTTCTTGACAGAAAAACTCAATAATTGTTTTTTTTTGGCCCGACCCGGGATTCGAACCCAGGACCTCATGATCAGCAGTCGCACTACTACAACCGCTAGACCAACGAGGCAGTCAATCTTCTAAATAAAATATAATAAATGCATAACGGTATTTGTTTGTTTGTTTATCTGACTGATGCCGAAACGACGCAACGGATCTATCTGTATTTTTGCATAAAGTTATAGCAGGTGATGAACAGCTACCCAAGTAACACATAAGCAATATAAGCAGACACTGTATCACTCTCTTGCTGTGTAACAGCTGTTTAAATAAGTTTGTATCTTTCTAAACTTGTGTATAATAGATTCTTATATCTGTTGAAAAGCAAAGTGATAAAGTAGCCGAAAGTAGTGTTGGGATACAAGCTACTTTTTCATCTGTAAACCATTCGATCCAACTAGAATGTTCGTAAGGGAAAACACAATAACATGCGAAGTAATCCACAATTAAAATGTTTATAACATTATGTAAGTAAATTAAAAGTAGTAAAATATTAAATAAAGTATTTTTTTTCTTATATCATCAATCTTTATCATAGCTATATTCGTAATTTTTTTGAAAAATCAGTAGGGTAAGTAATTTTAAAGAATTTCTTTTTTTTAAATGTGTAACAAAAATTAAAAACAAAATAAAAATTTGTGTTTTGAAAATAGTGCTTTAAACGAGCTTTTATTTGACATTCTAAATTATTATTTAAAAATATATCAAATCGACAATTTTTAATTTTAAGTTCTCGCCTGTATTTGTAATTAACTAACGTACATATGTGTAGAAGTATCTGCGAAAAACATCTGTGACGGAGGCCTGACCCAGATTAACAAATGTTACATTACGTTAATTTTGGCGAGTGAAGATGGGGGACAAAGCTAGTATAATTCAAATGTATGATTAGTTACGTTTAACCCACGTCTCTTTTGAGTGAGTTCAGAAGTTAATTAGAAAACAATTAGTAAGCGGAAAGATTAAAGTAATGAGTATATCGCTTGGCAGCCGATAATGTAAACTTACTGTGAGCGAGAGTAGAGATTTCTTTAATGACAATTACAGTGGACTTTAAACATCTTAAAGATAGATAGTATGTATAGTTATTATATTTACAGTATACATTAACTTTAAAAAGCAATATAATTTTACCACGTTGTTATTCAGTCACTTCTTGTTTGTCTGTCTGTAGCTCCGGGTAATTTAGTAATTGATTTTAAACTAACTTTCCGGTGAGCTATAAACTTGAAATATTGAATATAGCTCAATTTCGGATGACAATGCAAGAATAAGATTTAAAAAAAATCACTTGTTAATCGGTTTCGTTAACTTTCATCTTTTTGTTCATTGAACAACTTAATGTTAGTTATGTTTGTTTTGAACTTGATTTTTTAATAGAACATGACAAACGAGAATACAGCCCACCAGATGGTAAGGATGCTATGGCCTATGGACATCTATATCTATCTTAAATTAAGAATCAAAATATACGAGGGTGGATTGAAAAGTACTCGGCCTAACCAAGAAAATAAACACATACTAAATCAGTTATATTTTTATTTTTCTACATAATCACCATCAAGTTCAATACACTTTTGCCACCTCCCCTTCCAAGCATTTAGACCGTTGAAAAAAAATGATTCTTCCTTAGAGTCAAAATATGCGTCTACAGCTGCTTTGACCTCGTCGTTTGTCGAAAATCTTTGACCTCCCAAGTGCTTTTTTAGGTTAGGGAACAGAAAGAAGTCTGATGGTGCCAGATCAGGTGAATACGGCGGATGCGGTAACAGTTCAAAGCCACAGTTGTGAATTTCAGCCATTGACTGTACTGACGTGTGAACACGGGCGTTATCTTGATGAAACAGGACTTTTCTTCTGAGCATTCCTCGACGTTTTTCTTTTATTTCCTCTCGTAAACGAGCAGTAGTAATCAGAGTTTATAGTCTGACCCCTTTCAAGATAATCAATCATAATCACACCTTTCGAGTCCCAGAATACTGAAGCCATCACCTTATTTGCCGACAAAATCGACTTAGCCTTTTTAGGGGGTGGCGAACCAGGTCTTCTCCACTGTTTTGATTGTTGTTTTGTTTCCGGTGTACAGTAATGAACCCATGTTTCGTCCATAGTAACAAAACGATTCAAAAAATCATCTGCATCGGCTTCAATAACTCCAAACAGTCGCGTGAAATAGTCAATCGCGTCCTTTTTTGTTCAACTAAAAGCAGTCGCGGAACCCACCTCGCAGACACCTTGTGGAAACCCAACTCGTTGACAATGATGTTTTGAGTTCGTTCATAAGAGATGCCTATAATCTCGGCTATCTCTCTAATTTTTAATCTGCGGTCTCCCATTATTAAATCAAGTACTTTTTTAAAATTTTCGTCAGTAGTTGACGTCGAAGGCCTTCCAGAGCGGGGTTCATCTTTCACACTCTCTCTACCACGCTTAAATTCTGCTATTCATTTTTGACGGATGAATATGACAGAGCACAATCACCTAATGTACTGCCCATGTCATCATGGATGGCTTTTGATGATAGCCCCTTCTTATGTGGGTACTTAATGACGGTACGCTGCTCGATTTGCTCCATTCGCGGAAATTATGTCCGATTACTTTGTTAATAAATTTATAAAATCACAACTAATTATCGCACACATAGATTTGATTTTTAGAATTGAATGGATCTGTGTTAGGCCGAGTACTTTTCAATCAACCCTCGTAGATGCGTTATCACACCTATGGACTAAAAGAGTTTGGCTCGTTTCCTGTAAAAACGGTCTCCGGTTCTCTACACCATTCATACGAAGTGCAGCAGCATTAAGCTGGTATTTTATGATGGCTTTCTGTGAGAGGTTTCTTTCCCGGTCGAGCCAACCCATTCGTGCTACAACCGTAATACAGCTGCAGCGTGGCTCTGTCACGTATAAAATATACGACTATAACGAAAAGAAAGTACCGACTATGTGACTTGCCGGGCATGTCGTAAAAAACGATTAATGCGATATTAGGTTTGTGATTGTGTAGGTGATAAATTAGCCACCTATCACTTCTTTCATAATTTTCCATCGAATCTAATAGTTTTGGCTAAACTTAGTTCGCTGCTCTTCAGGACTTTGCCTAGCCCCTCGGTAATGATATTTTTAAAGTTTTAAAATAGTAGGTATGTATATGTAAATTTAATTCAAACCGAATGAAACCGTAATTAGTACTTAATTTAAAAACTCAAGTGTTTACGATTTTATATATATTTAACGGCTCCAAGGCACAGTGGCTTAGCAATGAGTTGCAGCGCTAAGGGACGTGGGTTCGAATCCCGCACGACAGAAATATTTGTATGGCCTACAAATAATTGTGCCGAGTCTGTATGTTTGCCCTTGTGGAATTTATGTATATAAACTACCACTACGATACACAGAAGAAAATCCTAATCATAATGCTAATTCTAATGATTTTAACCAAAAATAAAATAAGAAACAAAAAGATTAAATGCGTTTTAGGATAAAGATAAAACAATTAATGTAGCTTTAGAATTAATAGAGCTCTTTACTAGTTGTGACATATTAAGATAATATATTACAGCAGAGTTAATTGTTACATAAAATGTCACGTTTGTTTACGTTGATGTTAGAAGATGGCTGCCGAATCAATGATTTCTAGAACTGGATTTGGAATTGGGCCAACGAGCTCGCTCCAAGATAATATAACATTGCCAAGTTAAGCGGTCAAGTTGTGGCGCGTTGTTTACTTCTGTAGATGGTGTGCGGCGAAAGCAAACGCGTGACTTACCTGACTTGTTCGTGTTTCTGTATGTAGATTTTATGGAACTGGCCCTCCACCGGAGATATGATGTCGTTCTTCATCTCCATCGCCACGTGTTGGGGCAGCACCGATAACAGTAGTCGTTCCTATAAAAATATTTTAATAACTAATTGCACTTAAGCCTTATTTTTATGTTTATTGACTATTTTTTGTTTTTTAGTAAAACGTTACACTAGGATTTTCTCCCGTAACGTGGAGGCAGTTTACAAACTTAAATTGCACAAGGACAAACATCCAGACCTGGAACAATTATTTGTAGACCATACACATACTCGTTCCGTGCGAGATTCGAACCCGCGACCCCCAACTCAGCCACACATTGCTAAGCCACTGCGCTACGGAGCCGTATATAATATATTTAATAAAATATATATTCGATTCATCATTCTTACGCCAATGGTGAGTTTACCGATGCCGGTACAGCCTATGAAAGTCCACTGTGCAACACAGCCCTGGCCCATAGGTTGCCTTATGGGGGGAATATTTGCCATAGTTGCCACGCTTGGCAAGGGAGTTGGCATGGCCACCGCAGTATTTTATTTTTAGTCGTAACACCATGAAATGAGCTCGAAAACTCGTAGTGAAAAGCTATGTGCCGCTTTTTCGCCAAGCAGATTGCTTAGTTTAGAAGGATTTAAAAGCAGAAACTTTTTCAAGGAGCTATTTAGGTTTATGCACCGACTAAATAGATCCCTAGATCTTAAACCTGGTGGAGAGACCTCAATTAGGTACAAGTTTACTTCAATAATCGTATTAAGAAATTTAATACATATGCGATAAAAAATTACGCAGTATTAAATGGCGTAAGATACAATAAAACTTTTAAGATTTTATTAGAACAACATAAGCACATAAACCCTCTCCCAACTACTGTGGTAATTTCGTTGTAATGATTCCAAGTTGCATATAAATTATATTTATTTACCGTATTATACGTGTAGCCGTGGATGTCGTAAGGAATGACATAAAAAATAATCAGGAGATCGGTAGTAAAACCTTCTTACAACAACTCAAAATTATAGAAGAAGGTAATAATAATGTCCTTCAGACCGAATTTCGGCCACGGCGGCCTGCCTCGACGGAGGCTAGCTATCGGCTCAGGACAGGATTATAGTGCCCAAGCACTGCACTCTCTATTCCCTCACTCTCATAATCCGATGGGACGGTAAACCGACACGACCGGACAGAGATCAGGCGCATGAACAACGGCTTTACGTACTTTCCGAGTCAACCACTGCCAACTTCCTGACTCCGGGCAGCTACTGAAAATATCTTGACAGAAAAACTCAATAATTGATTTTTGTCCCAACCCGGGAATTGAACCCAGGACCTTATGATCAGCAGTCGCACTACTACAACCGCTAGACCTACGAGACAGAGGGTAACGCCTCATTGAAGATCGTTAAGCGTACAGCTTTGCGTCACGAGTCTATTATAGTGTCCTGAAGTCCTGAACTGCTTGAACTGTAGCGATCCCTGGAGTTATAAGGGTAACGTACCGCCACAGTCTAGTAAATCATATAATCAGTCGTCGCGTTTGATGTTTGCTTTAAAGCCTACACCGTCTAGACCTGTTGGCGCGACGACTAATTATATAAGGGTCATCACACGTTATGTGTAAGTTACATCTTTTACTTTTTTTTTTCAAACAAGACTATCGTCAAATGAATAGAAATGACGGCTCATTGAGCACGTATCATCGAAAATCCGCTAATAACGGTAAGTATCGTTATAATGGTAGGTACATTTTTAACTAACCGAATAATATAATGATATTATTCGGTTAGTTAAAAATGTACCATTAAATGGAAAATGTTTGAAAAGAATTATATACGCAAGTAGGTACGTTCATTTAAAAAAAATTATGCAGCGACCTATGGTGTTATTTAGACTTAAGATATTCATTAAAAACCATAAATTTTATCTTAACTCCCTATACAATTTAGTCTGGATCACTCCATTTGTTAGTGAAATTTTATTACAATCGGCTCAGCAATTTCGTAGATTATTACTTATTAGCATAGACAGACACACAAACGAAAATTCTAGAAATGGTTCAAAAGTATAGAAATATTTTATACTAGCTGTTATGTTATGGTCACTGGGAAATGAACTATCCATTGCTTTTTGAATTGAAAGAAAACTGAGTTTTATAGATTTGTCAGAGATGCAGCCATTAAAAGGAAACTGAGCAAAATTGATTCGTTAGCCTATTTAAATGTTTTGAAACGCAGCGTATAGGAAAGCATGAAAATAGCCTGTTTATTCCAAATGGAAATGGGATATTTTTTTAATTACAGGAAACTGAGCATAATTATCCGTCAGGGATGCAGACTTTTGAAAAGAAAATGAGCTAAATTGATTAGTCAGAGATGCAGTTTTCTGAATTGAAAGGAAACTGAGCCAAATAAAAGATCCGTCAGAGATGCAGCCTTTTGAGTTGAAAGGAAACTGAGCTTAATAGGTCCGTCAGAGGTGCAGCATTTGGAATTGAAATGAAACTGAGCTAAATAGGAAATTTTGAATTGAAAGGGAAGATATGTGGGAATTCTGATTAATTGATTGTGAGAATTTTGGAAAAAAAACTAACTGAACACTATTTTAAGACGCTACTGTACACAACGTTATATGTTTTTTCGTTCGGGGAAAGAATGTGGAGATTCTGGGCATTTGACACACGCGAACATGCTACATACCATGAGAGCTGACCATGAGAGAAGCACGGTTTTTCTAAGTTGACCCCCGCTACCTGTAACGTTTGCCCTTGCGCTTTATTAATTGTCATTGCAGAACTGAGCTTAATAGGAAACTGCAACCTTTTGAATTGAAAAGGAAGATCTGTGAGAATTATAGGGATCCGTGGTATAATAACATTTTCACCTGTCTCCTCCGTCCTGTCATTCACGCCTATCAAAATTGTAGCACTGATTATGTTCTGTCCAAGATGTGTCACACGCAGCCTTGTCCCGTTACATAACCGAGGAGCATCTAAATTTTGCATTAGCATGACTGGGACGCCTAATTTTAATTGAAGCTTATGTGAGGGCACACCTGACAATTCTAGAGAATTTAGAAACTCTGCGGGATATGAAGTGCCCCTATTCTGTGTCAATAACTGTGACTACTGACAAATACTCTGTTATTTCTCTTGCTACTTCGCTTAATATATCTGAATCTATTTTGTGAACGCTCTCATATTTTGGTGCAAGAATTGCCCTTTCACACAACCATTTGTCTTCATGCATGTTGTTCGTTAAATCTGAATAAACGCTCGCAAATAATTCGGAATGACTCTGTACTAAATTACAAAAATCTCTCGTCAATTTAACGTAGCCCTCAGCATCCGTTTCGAACCGCCCAGCATTGATATCATTATACAAATGCACTCTCATATTCGTAATATTAAACTGAATTTTGTCACCTTGTTCCATAAAATAGACGACTTGAGGCATGCTTTAATTTCATCTGCAGGTGTACCCTTTTGAATGACAAGTAAAGTTTGGCGAAAGTCACCAGCCAATAAAACCACCATTCCTCCCATTACATCGGTATTGCTGCGCAAATCCTGGAGCATTCGATTTAGTGCTTCTACAGCTTTTTTATGCGACATTGTACTTTCGTCCCACACTAAAAGTTTGCACTGTCGTAGCATTATACCTCGTGTACTATTTTTGCTAAAGTTGCAGATCGGCGATTCTTCCTGGGCTTGATTTAGAGGGAGTTTTAAAACAGAATGTGCAGTGCGGCCCCCGCTTAGCAGCGTGGCGGCTATACCGGAGGAAGCTACGGCCACAGCAATGTTTTTATCTTTCCGTACTTGCACTAATAATAAATTTTACAAAAATGTCTTCCCAGTTCCTCCAGGGGCATCTAAAAAGAAAAATGCACAATTTCCAGATTAAGTTCGTCCTAATACTTTGTCAAAAACTCGTTTTTGTTCGGGAAGCAAGCGGGATACAAATTCGGCTACTTGCTGCTGCAAAGCTGGTGTATCGTAGTTTGCTTCACGTATAATTTCATCCATTCAATCTCATATCATCCAAAGTAATTTTTTGCCTACCATTTCTATTACTTTATCTTCAATTTTTCCAAGTGCTTCATTATAAATGTGTTCATTGTATGTCATGTTCCTTTTCACCTTCGCAAAATATCTTCCGCCATGTACTCTTTATTTTCGTCCCACAATCCATGTGCATTAGATAGCCCGCTAGATGATATGAGAGTTGCATAAGATCCCTAATTTTGGCTGGTAACTGGCACTGCACAGCTTCCTCCATGGTTTCATCCCAGTGATTATCGTTTTCTAAAAGATGCAGAGCTTCACATGCTTCTCTATAAGTTGCGCATTCCTGACCGTTGACAATTTTAAGGTCTTTATATCCTGTAGGAACCCGAACATGGTGCAGCAGCAATCGTAAACAGAAACATTCAAAATTAGTTACATGGACGGTATACACACGACCAAGGGCATCTGATAACTTTACACCGGGCCAATTTGCAACAGGTGTGCCTTGAATACGGCGTTCCAACTCCTTCCTAGATGTGTTCCAAGTATAATAGCGAGGGACTTCAAAATATAACAACGTTTTTCCAAAGGGGTCGGTTTGGCAAAGTTGAAAGAAGGCTGTTGGTGTAGTTTTTGGCGGTGATGCATTCTTTCTTGGAAATTTCTTTCGGTGAAATATACACACTCTCCATTTTCTAAGTGCACAGCAAGGTGAGTAACTGTTGGGTGCCTTTCGTGTAAAGGGAAGCCAAGGAGACGCCACGCTGCCTCGTTACTGCTGACATAACGCCCTGCTTGAAGACCTTTCAACTACTTCATTAACGGGATTTGCCTCACCTTCACTCCTGAGATTAAATATTGCTTGGTCGCTTCATTTATTTATGTACTTACAGATATACTTGATTACGCGGACTAAGCTACATGCTTCTACATTAATGTGGGCATTAAACATTTTACATAGAATGGGCGAATACGGGACAATCCAGCTGTTATCTAAGGTTTCGAACGCTCCAGAGCGAGATTTGACTGTAACTTATCAGCCACAATCTTCGGGAGCTCTGCTCTGTATAAAGGTACCAT